GCCATGTAAAGATGGATATCACACAGAGAGTATGAATTATGTTATCTTTGGGATTTTTAACTGCAGAGAGACACTTGATTGTAAAAGCTGCTGAGTTAAATCTCTCTCTCTCTCTCTCCATATATATATATATATATATATATATATATATATATATATATATATCTTGATTTCAAAAATCTATGTCTAAGGATATATTGCTTTGGAAATGAGGTTCTGCTTTTGCTTCCACAGAAGATGAGAACCTGTGGATTGCTTCCAGGATAATATGGTTTTTTAGGTGAATTTCTAAATAGTCTTATTAAATAAGAAACAGAAAGCCAAATATAGGGGTAATAGCCAAAGAGAACAGAGAGATAGCAAATAGCTATGACCAACCTTAGCTTACCACCTCACCATAGCTTCCCAAGAGAGAGCTTCTTCCTGTCTAACCTGCACTTTTATTGCCTTCCTGTTCTGCCTTCTCATTGGTTCTAAGCCCAGCCACATCACTTCCTGTCTATACAGACCTCCAGGTCTCTATGGTTGGTATTGGGATTAAAGGCGTGTGTCACCATGCTTAGCTATGTCCTTGACTGCACAGAGACTCTGCCTGCCATGTGATTGGATTAAGGGCATGTGCTACCACCACCTGACATCTGTTTATGGCTCGCTATGACCTCTGATCTCCAGGCAAACTTAACTAACATACAAATAAAATATCACATTTCAGCACAAATAAAGTATCACCACATGGTTTGATCAAGGAAGACCCCCTGAGAGGCCCAGATTATCAAACATCCAAATGGCTTCAAGGCAACTGGCTCAAAAAATACAACATCACAGACTATTCCAGTCAGAACTTGGCCATAATTCTTAATTTTCTCAGGATCTTCATTTTCTCAGGATCTCCATAAGAATATAGTTCCCTTTATCAGCAGGAAGTAGCCTAGAAAACTACACCCACATTCCCCAAAAAAGGATTATGGATGTCTGTCTTTGTTTAGGTTGTTGGTCACAAATTATTATTGGTCATAGTCAATATCTTTCTAAAAGAAGAAAGGGGGATATGATATGGAAATATAGGATATAGATATGATAGGATAAAAGGATGGATTGTTGAACCTACTTTTAAAGAGCAACTTGTTTAAAATGTTTTACATTGGTATAGATTTTAGTTTATTGATACAAATTTAAAGTTAATTTTGTTATACTATATGTATATTTCTACTATTGTTTAAGATATTATGTTTGTACAGCTCATTTAAATTGTACTAGATAATTAAGAAATAAAGATTAATAATTAATCTTCTATGACAGTCAAACTTACAGTCATGTTAAGTTTTTTAGATATACATAGATATAATTCAATTAGGTAAATAATCTGCAAATACTTCAAAGACCTACAGAATATGGCATTTAAAATGTTTTAAAAACTTAGGCTTTCCTGGACAATGAGACACATCTACTCCTGGCAGCACTGAGTTACTTCAGAGAGAAAGATGGGTGTCAAAGACACTCCATATGGAGTTTATTTTCTTCTTGGCAAAAATAGCCATTTGGGCAAGAAACTGTTCTTGCCTGGACTGCTTGACCAAATGTATTGACTGGACATGCAGGACCCTCAGGAAGGTGACCACTGAACTTTGCAAGACAAAATGGTACTTCAGGTTCCTGCTTTGCAGAAGAAACTGCCAGATATTATACAGGACACAGAAAAAAAAAAGACAGAGAGACTCTAGACCTATGGACTGAAGGTAGATGCCCCAACGTTGCAGAGAAACTTTGGGTGACTGTCCAGGCAGACAGCTGTCTCTGTCATTCTAGATTTTTGGAAGTTGCTTACAATGGTCTTCTTATTTACTTAGATATTATTGTATCTTTCTAAGGTCTTTGATGTAGTTGAAGACTAGATAGTTATAATTATGGTTTTCCTTTGTTATGATAAGAGATAAGGTAGATATGAAACCTTAGACTCACAAATATAGGATAGATATGGTATCTTCTTTGATTTTGCCAAAGAAATAGACTACTAGATATTATAACTATAATTCTTGCTTGATAACTGTTTTGTTATATGTAATTTACTATGTTGAAGTTAAAACCTTCCTTTTGGTTAGAAAGAAAAGGGGAAATGATAGGTGATATCATTCTGTATGGTGTGAATATGTATTGCTCTGATTGGTTGATAAATGAAGCTGTTTGGCCAATGGTGAGGCAGAATAAGGTTAGGCAGGACATTCTAACTAGAGAGCAAGGAAGGAAACAGACAGCACAGTGGATATGGTGCTAGCTGCTGCCAGGAGAAGCAGCATATAAAGTGCTGGTAAGACACCAGCCGAGTGGCAAAGTATAGATTTATAGAAATGGGTTAATTTAAGATATAAGAGCTAGCTAGTGAGAAGTCTGAGCCATTTGGCCATACAGTTTATAAGTAATATAAGTCTCTGTGTGTTCATTTGGGTCTGAGTGTCTGTGGGACTGTTGGGCAGTGGGAGCCAGGCAGGACCAGAAAAACTTCAGCTACAAGGTACAGATATAGACCCAGATAAAGTCATAGATGTAGACATAGCCATACTTAGAAGAGAAAACACATTTGACAAATTGGCTTATATACTCATTGAAACTGAGAAGTTCCATAACAGGCTCTCAGCAATCTGAAGACTGATGGATGTCAGCTGTGTAGTACAGTTGCAAGCCAAGTCTCAGAAGCAAGGAAAACTCTCCATGGCCAAAGGACTCAGAACCTGGGGAGCCACTGGTGTTAAGACTCTAAATCCAAAGTCAAAAGAGGTTGAAGTTCTGAAGTCCAAGTGTAGCAAGGGAGTATGCCAGCCCTGTCTAGTGCTCTCTAGTCCCCTGTTGGCTGCATAGTACTGACCCACACTGAAGTGTTTCCCCACTTCAGCCTAGAGAGTCATGCACCAATTACCTCTGAAAATGCCCTCTCAGACATATCTAGTCCTGTTGCTTAATCAGCTCCCTGGGTGGTGTTCTGCAAGTTAATCAAGTTGATACCTAAGATTCCTTTTCATACAAACTCTAAGCACAGGCTAAAGTAATCCATAGGATAAATATAACAGTAATGGTGGCCTAAAAGTAACAGCAGAGAATGATGGGAAGGGTGTGACTGAGTTGAAAAAAAATGGAACTCAGAGTCCTCAGAGTGGCTTGTAGGTATAAGCACACATAATAAAATTAAGGTTGCTGCTTTATTTTAGGTACATTTTACTTAAATCAAAGACAAGGGGCAGAATGAACAAGCATAGCATTAAAATACATGTGCCTGCACATCACAGGCTTGGCAATAGCTCCTAAGATATGACCAAATTCGAATCCCTTGAACCTGCAAGCATGTCATTGCTTTATACTGAAAGGTGAGATTATGGGTTGTAATTAACTGAGCATCTTGAAATCAGAATTAGTGAGGATCATGCAGTAGTCATGAGACAGAGGCAGGAAGAGCAAGGGTAGAAGAAAACTGGGTAATCATGTAGAGATTGGAATAATGCACTTTGAAGATGGAAGAAGGGATGAGAATCTAAAGGTGGAGGTGGCCTCGAAAGGCTGGGAATTAGTAGGAAGTGGACTTTCCCTACAATATCCAGAAAAAGTGCTGGTCTACCAACATATCAACTTTAGTAAAAACTGATCTTGGAACTTCAGAGCTAAAAGACAATAAATTTGCATGGTTTCAAGCCACCAAATTTGTAGTGATCTGTTGCAGTATAGATTAATATAGCACACACTATCTGCCAAGAACAAATGAAACACTTATGATGTGGTTAATTCCAATTCATCAATATAACACTGAGCCATTACTATTATTTATCCTCATAAAGGAGTAACTGAGGCTTAGATATGCTAGTGCCTCCCCCAAAGTAAGTGGGAAGTTCACAGTTTGATCCCTAACTTGAAGTTCTAAGTCTTCTTGCCCTGGCTTTGTCCCTGGTGCACCAAAAGGGCAGTTGAAGTAGTGCTTGAGTTCATGGTCTGAAACAAACTGGAATGCACACCAAAGTCTTGGCGTAGTCCCACTCTGGTGTTTCTATAGACTCATTCTGTATGCAGAATGCAGTCTGGTGGGCTCCATGGCCCACAGTCCTGAAGGAGTGGTGAAGACTGTGAGATTGCTATGACAGCTTTGATGACAAGAGACTGGCTTATGCGCCATGGTGAGCAGTTGACTCATTTTCACATGTGTCCATTGGGCATCACAGTTGACAGAGATCTGTTAACTAATTTAACTCAAAATGTAAAAATTTGTCTCTCCCTTCCATGATATCAGTTGTATGCATGCGTGCATGTGCATTAGGTTGTACTAGCAAGGGAACTGGAACAAGCTGTTCTCTGTCTCCCTAATTCCTAGAGACCTTAGCAGGCCCAATGTAGCTGGAGATTTCTCCAGTCCTGCTGGGGCCTGCAGCCACTGAGACCCAAGTAAACACACAGAGACTTATGTTACTTATAAACTGTATGGCCATGGCAGGCTTCTTGCTATCTAGTTCTTATATCTTAAATTAACCCATTTCTATTAATCTGTAAGTTGCCACATGGCTTGTTGCTTACCTGTACTTTACATCTTGCTTCTCATGGCAGTGGCAGCTGGCAGTGTCTCATGACTCAGCCTTCCACCTCCCAGAATTCTCCTCTCTCCTTATCCCTCCTACAATGTACTTCCTCCCTGTCTACTGGCCAATCAGCATTTTATTTATTAATCAATCAGAGCAACACATTCACAGCATACAGAAAGACATTCCCAGCACTTCCCCCTTTCTTTTTTTCAAAAGGGAAGGTTTTAACTTGAACATAGTAACATTACATATAACAAAACAATTATCAGGCAAGAATTATAGTTATAATGTTTAGTCTATTTGTATTTTGCAAAATTAAAGAAGATATCCTATCCTATATTTGTGAGTCTAAGGTTTCATATCTAACTTATCTTTTATCATAACTAAGGAAATTATAACTATCTAGTCTTCAACTACATCAAAGAGCTCAGAAGGATATAATATTACCTGAGAAATGGGAGAAGGATGCAAGCAATTTTCAGGAGTCTTTCAAGTGTAGACAGAGACAGCTGGCAGTCTGAACAGTCATCCAAATTTCCTCTGTAAAGTTGGGGCATCTGTCTTCAGCCCACAGGCCTAGAGTCTCTCAGTCACTTCTCTCTGTGTCCTGTATAATGTCTGGCAGTTTCCTCTGTGAAGTAGGAACTTGAAGGACCATTTCGCCAAGCAAAGTTCAGTGGTCACCTTCCTATGGATCCTGCATGTCCAACTGATCAAGCAGTCCAGGCAAGAATAGTTTCTTTCCAAAATGGCTATTTTTGCCAAGAAGAAGATAAACTCTGGAGCACGTGGCTGGATTTTAGCTTTTAGCCAGAACATGTGGCTGCTCTCTCTCTCTCTCTCTCTCTCTCTCTCTCTCTCTCTCTCTCTCTCTCTCTCTCTCTCAGGAAGCGATGGCAGCGAGGTGGTAAGGTAAGGTAGTCATCACTCTCTGATCTCTTTGGCTATTTACCTCTGTATTTGGCTCTGTGTTTCTTATTTCCTAACACTGTTTAGAATTTCGTCTAAAGCTCATATTATTTTTTTTTAAATCAAACACTAGGCAGAAGGTTGCACAACCAACCTGCATGGAAAAATCCATGAACTTACACAGGAGCATGTGGCATGGGTAAGTCTTTGGATGGCTCTCCTGTCAGGCATCTTACTATTTACTTTTTTCTGGCTCAGAGATGTATACAGCTTAAGCTAAGGGCTTTGCAGACCATCACAATATCATTTGTATCTCTTACAGGGGGGGGGGGTATTTGTGGCAGATCACACAGCTCTTCTATAAGTGGACTGTCTGAGAGGATGTATTTATTCTTCCAAGCCCCGAAGGTCAAATTGTTTTAGAACCTCAGAGAGGGTTGCTTCAGCATGTAAAATGTTTTCTAAGCATAAGGACCTCATTTGGACTCCCCAGCACCCACATTAAAAAAAAACAGGCTTAGCTGTGTGAATTTATAATTCCCAGCACTGTAGATGCTGAGATAGGAAGATTCCCCAGGACTATTAGTTCAACTAACCACTCAAGCAGAACCAGAGAGCCTCAGACCCTAGTAAGGGCTCCTGTCTCAAAAACAAGGTAAAGAGGACAAGGCCTGAAGGATACCTGAGCTTGACCTATGGCCTTCACACACAAGTACCCACATGTGCACTAGTACCCATATCTTTATGCACCCACATCAATGTGTGCACGTGCACCCCTGAACTTCTAATCCAACTTCTGCATTATGTAGGTGGAGGTAATCAACAACAGAAATGATAAAGAGAGGAGTAGGTGGCCATTCCAATTGTTGGGATAACTGATAAAAGAGAAAATAAAAAGCATTACCATGCAAAGCATTTACAGTAGACTGTTAAGGGCGCCATCCAGTCAGTTAACAGTCAAACAACTGTGCTTATTAGTCTTACTTGCAGACATAGTATTCAATTATGCAGAGCATGGTATTGCAACAGTTTTGACTATTTATTAGTGATTAGTGCATACAATTTTAAATGAATATATCTAGTACTGTGTAGTGGGTATTTGTTCCACCTATGGCCTTGAGGTACCAGCCCCTGGGGTGTGGCCTGTTGGCTATCTTAAGACCTGGGGATCACATATGCTCATCCTTCTCTCTCACGCTCTTGGATAGTGGAGACCAAATGAGGTGGCATGAAGCAATGTGGAACCAATTCTCAGCCTTCCAGGACTCTGTGATTGAATTTGCCTTATCCTGTATTAATGAGTTGTCCCCCCCCCCAATATAATCCTTTAGTAAATAGTCCTTATATCATTAATTCGTGTTTTTCCCGCATTATCTGGTGCCCAACATGATCTGAGCCCCACAGCCCACAGCTAGTCTGTGTGGCACAAGAAAGGACCCCACACCTACTGGAGCTACTCACATTCCCATGCAAGCAATCAGCTTTGACAGGCTTGTATAGACCTGCCCCAGAGGCCAGCATACTTCTCAGGCCAGCAATCAGATATGGCAGGCTTGCTCAGAGGCTCACATACTCAGTGCTTTGAGTACAAATCCTGCTACAGTGTAGCCACAGGCTTGAACAAGTGGAGCCTTGGTTACAAGGGATCTGCTCTGACCACCTCACGGGCAACTCAAGGCTACCCCCTTATACATGGGGCCCAGAGCCTGTGTGCACCTATGAGCTACTCAGGACAACCACATCTCAGGCACTCCTCAGACCTTCCCCCGGTGTCTGTGTTCTACAGCCCCAGATCCCTAGGCACATCCTGGGATCCTGCCACATTCATGCATTTGTGCTGCATGCCACCCATGGGGAGCCCACATGGCCTGCCACATGGTTCAGGCCCCACCCCAGCTCCAAGTTCCCAGTATCCCTGCTTCATACCCGCTGCCAGCCCTTCTCTGTCCTAGAGGCCAACGGCCCAGGAACGCTGCCTGAGTGGCGGCCCCCACACTCACTTGTACTAACATGTGCCTGTGCCTTCATGTGCCTGTTATGCAGTCTGGGCACAGCGGCACGCTACTCTGCTTAAGCACTGGAATCCACAGAAACCAGTGAGTGCCAGCAGGCTGCCTTTTTCTTTTAAATCTGTTTGGTGTGGTTGCTCTCAATCCTGCTTAAGAATACAGGACACACAATCGTGGCACATGAGCCTCAGGGGACCCACAAAGTCCCAGAACCTGCTTTGGCACTATACTGCGACACCTGCTGGCCTGACATCCTTACTACACCCCAAAATCACTGCACAAACCAGCCATTCACCCTCCCTGGAATTAAGAGCCTGGGACCCCTGAAATACCTAGGACATTTAGGACAATCTCTCAGGGATTTTATCTCAGGTAAATTATTTAATAACTTTTCACTTTAAACTGATAAATAAATAAATAAACAAACAAACAAATAAATACATTTTTCTCTTTACAAATTTTAAGTCTCTCTCACATCATGGCAGATAATATATATTACCATTCAGAATTTAAATTTTTCTTTGTTTCTACCATGGATGAAATTTTACAAGACATATATGACCTTCCTGGGATATATACAATTTTAGCTATAATGGTGATTAGTATGGCAATTCATATCATATCCTTAAAAAAATGGTTTGATAACATAGCCAAATATGAGACATCAATTGGACTGATATAGACTTTGCAAAGTGATAATGAGAAATTAACCCTCCAGATTCATTCCCTGGAATCTGCTAATTTATCACACTGAATTATCAGTTTGAATTCAGTCCATACAAACTACTAATGACAAGTGGACAAGCAAAACTAATCCTATGGAAAATAGATATAAAAAGTTATCGAACAGAACACCTTTTTTTGTAAAACAATTTGCATGTCATGCAGATTATCTCTAAGGAAGAAAAGTTATCATTAATGGATAAAATTAAATTTGTAGAATCATATACCAATGATGAACATAAGAAACATATTGATTCAATGAAGTCACCAAGTCATTTACTGTTCAAGAGTTTCAGACCTCAGAGAAAGCTGTGATTAATCAATTTCAAGCTTTACAAGAACCTGTTAAAACTGATAATAAGAGCATTAGCACACAGACATAAGAGGTTATAGGCGAAACAACATGGCCAGTGCCTTACAGAGTTAGAGATGACTTACCAAAGGTTGCAAGTTCCCTTTCCCCCCTACTGTGATCTATCCTTTTACTATTTGTGAAAAGCCAGTGAATGCTAAGTATCCTGAAGGATATGCAGAATGTAAATGAAAGCCTATACATATGAGAGATTTAAAGGACATCAAGGAAGCTATGGTATGTATTCAACATACATGAAACAGTTGTTAAATATCCTAGACATAGGATCACATGAAATGACTGAAATCAATTAGTATCAGCAGTTTATTAAACTATAGTCAACAATTACAATGGAAATGCTGGTTGCAAGAAGAAGCTAAGGCCCTTGAACAGCAAGGTAAGATTAAAGGTTTTTAAATTTCCCAAGACCATATTCTTGGTGAGGGCTGTTTTGCTGATGTAAATAAACAAGCCACCTTTGATGAGCATACCTTACCCATATGCCATACAGCAGCCTTTAATGCTTGGGAAAAGATTCTTGAACCAAGAAAAACAACTGAGATATATACTAAGGTCATACAAGGCTTAAAAGAACCTTTTACTGACTTTTTACAATGATTGACTGGAGTTGTAAATAAAGTGACATCAGATCAAGAAGTTAGACAAGTACTAATTCAATCTTTGGCTTTTGAAAATGCTAATTTAGAATGCAAAAAGATACTTGTGCCTTTAACAGTCTGATCAGCCCCCATAGAAGAATGGATCCAACTCACAATCAATTTTGAGTCTCTTAACTATAGTGATGAGGCTTGGATAGGAGAGGCATTTTCCAAAGACATAAAGAAACATCAAAGTGTCAAATGTTTTAATTGTAGTTAACCAGGCCATATAAGTAAAAATTGTACAAAGGGTTCTCTGAGAAACAATGTTTCTTCTGGAAATGACCCAAACAGAAGGCTTCTGTGTTGTGCAGAAGATGTGGCAAAGGCTGACTTTGTACCAACAAATGCAGATCAATAAGAGACATACAAGGCAACTCTTTCCTACTGGGAAAGGTCTGGGGGACCTCTTGCAGGCTCCCAAATTGAACATGGTTCAGTCATTTCCAGTCACTGTGGTGGAAACTCCTCCCTAGGGAAATTAGATGATCTAGTGCCTAACATAAAAGCCATACTGCACTGGATGATAAAACAGCTTTGATAGATGAATCAAAAACTCAAAGAAACATCATAAAACCTATATTTTGGCAGACTTCCATAAATTAACAAAGACTAAATCTAAGGATACAAATAAATAACATTATTCTTGAAGGCTTACTGGACACAGTTGCAGACATGACTATAATTACACCACAATCATGGCATCTGAACTGGCCTCGAGGTAGATGTTTAATTTCTAGGGATTAGAACTCTATCTCAGGTAAAAACAAAGCATGAGATGGGTTAAATGTATAGGGCCAGAAAAACAGAGAGGAAAATTGAAGCCATATGTGGCTAATGTAGCAGTAAATCTATGGGTTTGAGATCTATTACAGCAATAGAATACTCAGATTAATATTCCTCCAATTCCTGTTTCTGGGAATAATATTATAAGACACTATAAAAAAATAGACGCTGACCATTCA